AGCTGGCGATAACCACCGAAAAATTTGAATGACGGACCCGCCACGGTAAAAGCTTTTGGAAAAGGAATGAGTGCAACTACTCGTAGTACACTTCTTACATCCGTATTCCCAAAAGAGTTCACCGGGTGAATTCCTAGGTAAGTGGACGAGTACCACGAAGGTCTCAATTAAAAACTACTAGCATAGACATAATCTTCTCATGGTAGCTTTCTATTATTCAAATTATCACGAATCCAATTATGGTTTAACAATTATCCCAAGTAATCGTAGTAGGATAATTATTCTTTCGTATGCAAAATTTCACATAAGTCATGGCCTGATTTCACGTCATGAATTAATGAAATAATAACAACATAGTCTCAAGGAATTTCAAGATTTGTAGGGATCAATTACAAAGTATTAAATTCCAAATACTGGATTATAAATTGATTGGGGTTAAATTGCATATGTTTTACCCCTCATTTCTTGGTCGCTTCTTGGTCATTTGACTTGATTACATGTCTCCTTTATCCATTTTACACTAGGTTGTGTTCATTTGATGTATTTTAGGTTTAGTATGTGAGAGAAAGGTTTAGGGGCAAGTTTCGGGTCATTCAGAGGTCGTTGTATCATTCCAAGGTGCTTCAAAGGACAAAACTCGGTCATGGCCACCAGAAACTCGGCCAGAGTGTTCCAAGAGACAAATCTCGCCCTGGGGCTCCATAACTTGTCCTGAGGGCCAAATCTCGACCACCTAGCCACTAGAAACTCGGCCTAAGGGCCAAAACTCAGTCAAGAAACTCGGCCAAGTTTCAACTCCAATCCAAAACTTGTATAAAGTTGTTTTTTATATATAGATCAAGGAGGTAGGGTTTTTGGATTCCAAAGGACCGTAGGAGGTTCTCTAGAGGTAGAGGAAGGTCCAGGGACGATCTAGGAGCAATTATCGCAGATTTCTTCATCAAGGAAGCCCGAAGTTCAAGCTCGGAGGTAGAATTGAAGCTTATAGTAGATTTTCTGCACTTTCATCTTCTATGGGGTAATTGTCTAAGTACTCTTTCTTCATAAACTCGAGTTCATATCCAACCTATGAATGTTTCGATGTTCAATTTTGATTTAATCGAGATTATTGATTTGGCTATTGATTTATGAGAGGGAATACTAGATTGGGTCAATTAGCGCACCTTAGATTGGAAGTAGGGGGTCGATTGCGTGAGAGTGTGTCAATTTCATGCTTTCTAATGAGTGGGAACGTCACTCGATAGAGGGGATCTAGTGTAGAATGCCTTGATAAGTTATACTAGAGAAGGGTACGCCCCTCTAGACTACCGACTCAAGAGGGCCTTGATTGCTTTAATCAAGATTCAAGGTCCAGTCAGTGATCCTCCCCCATTATAGACGAGAGTGGAAGAAGTTAGAGACTTATCAATCTCAATCCGGCCAGATGCCTTGGGGTTCGATAATTTTAGGGTATGTCTATTTTGTATCCAAACCTTTTTCAGATTCTTTTTTATTAGCCAAACCTATCGAAATACTAAGAATTAGCCAAATGTTAACTTCCAATTAGCAACTTTGTTAGTAATGTTGACTTGACAACATGATACTGACTTGGAAGAGATACATGAACGTCAACATTCCAAAATTTTAGTATTTTAACTATGGAAAGATTTACAAAATTATTAACAAGAACATAAAAATTGCTAATATTTTGATGCATTACGAAAGATTTGGCTAATTACTAGCATTTTAATAAGTTTGAATAATCACTACAACAAATTTGGCCTATTAGGACAATTTTTTGTCATAATAGGTATTATCATATGACAAAAAACTTATATGTCACATTTGGTACTCCTAATGTGACAAAATGTTGTTTTGTCATAATACTTTGTCAGTTAAAGTCTTTAATGTGACCAAATTTGTGTGTCACCATATGGTTTGTCAAAATAGGTAACCCACATCGGTATCTAAGAGACATAAAGTGACAAAATGTCATCGACAAAGTATCATTTGTCATATTATGTCTTCCTGAATTGTTTAAACGACAATTTGGTTTGTCACAATAGACAACCATAATCCCTCGCCGATCTGACAAAATGTAATGTTGGTGGTAAAAAATAGACAAGATTATGAAAAAGGTTTGGATAAAAAATAGACATTACCCATAATTTTATTACTTTAGTTCCACTATACTGCTTCCCAATTTGCGGTTTCCCTTGGACACTTATTGGAGTTGTAGTAAAAGTGAGTCATGAATAATCCAATTCTACTCGAGTATCACAATCATAAGAACAACATTCTCCATTTTATCTTCGTTAAATCCTCAACTATGTTTCATTGTTAAAAACATACCACTTAATAAAACACCTCCTATTCACCGTAGGGTCCATACATCTTATTTATGACATAAATTAACTTTGCACGGCTACTGTAAAAATTCCAATCCCTCTTGATAAAATTCTCCTCGACTCTACGATACTGTAGGCGAAGATGGTTCGTCGTTTGGACGCCAAACGAATGAATTACGAACAAAATACGAATTATGTCAATACTCGAAATGCCAAGTACTATATTAGAAATTTTACAAAACCTGCCTATGGAAAACTCCAGTCAGGCCCTCATGCTTTTCGAATTGACAGAACAGTACTTGACTTTCAGAAACTGACAATTCTACATGGCCAGCTTCTGGGCTCGGTTCTCCCTCGTCTGACGTCAAAAATTGATTTCGTTGAAACGTGTGTGCTCCTAAGATCTCCCTCTTCGCAAAAGTACTAATGACTTGAAGAATGGTTGAAGGAGGTATTGACGTTGTCGCCATCACGGAATTCTGACAAAACTCCTGCGAGGCCCCAACACGGTTTCAACGACGCTTCTGGATTTGTGGGAGTATTTCCCTGTCCTTTACGCCGACCTCCCAAACTCCAAATACTCGAGACTCTCATTGCAATCTCCCAATTTCCTTCCTTCCTTTGGGGGGCTTATAGTCATCGAACGAGCTTTCTATATATATGGTTTAGGCTAGCGTACACCCGAGAATACACTACCTTATTATACGATCATTGAGTTTGCTATTTATATAATGAATTAATCGAAATTCGAGGAGTGATTCTATATCATAACCTATAATGGATGCTATATAGATGGAGTGCTGATGAGCGAAACACCGTTGTTTGACGAGATGGGGTGATGATGAGCGGACACTATTGTGCGAGGAAAGATAGAGTGATGATTTCGCGAGGACGACACACACCATTTTGAGAGAGCAGAACGACATCGCATAGACGTACCAAAATTTCCCCGTTCGTCTACTAAATCAGATAACTCATGTAAGAAAACATGGAAAGAAAATAGCAGGAAAGACAAAAAGTATGAAATTATAATAAAAGAGCATGTCCTTCTTCGGGACTTCAACGAAAGTAGAATATTATAACAAAAGAGTTCATGACAGATAGACAAATCCTTCTTAGTAATTTCAATAAAAAGCATAACAAGAATAGTATATTGTCGCAACCGTCCCTCCGGGGATTCAGGGTTGTCGCGTTCGCTTTTTGGGAGTCGCCATCGATCTTACTTGGAGTGGATCGAACACTCTTCGGATTGGCTCTAACCTTAGGGTCAGAACCGAGGTATGGTCTGCGATTAAGAGATTCGGGTTCGGGAGTACGGTTACGTGTGGGGGAAGTGAAATCACAACCCACAACGCCCTAAATCGGTACTACTTAAGTCGATAAGTTTATATATTAGTTGGGTGTATTTTAGTAATTATGTTGTAATTTTAGGGTCCCACTGGACCATTAAATAATTTTAATCGTATTAGTTATAATTTAATTATACGCCTACTGACGTAAAAATTAAAAGATAGAGTTAATTGGTTAGTTGGAATCGAACCTTATCGGTTGCCTACGTACCCGTAACACGGGATCAAAGTCCACGTAGTTCGTTTGAACTTTGACAATTTAATTGTAATCACGTTCCACTGATCGTCATTTTCGTATTATAATTTTGTCAATAAAACTTCATTTAAATTATTATGGGGTTGCTAAAGTGAAAGTAAGAATTTTAATTATTAGGAAGAAATTCGATGTATCAAAAGAGAAGCAAAACTAACTTAATCCGCATTCAACATTTCGTATTAAGGACTTTAAACAAATAAAATCAAACGAAATGACTATGTTTACGCTTTTGTTTGTATTTTCTGGAATCGGGCCAAAACGGAGGAGGCTTCTCGATCTACTCTCCCTCGCAGAAACGACATCGATGAGGGGTGAATCTTACCCTATGGTACGGTTTTTCTCATATGCATGTTCGTTTTTAGTTGGATTCCGCACTCGATTTTGAGTTTAACTTGTTTTAGTTTTTCTTGTGGTGGACGAGGGGTAGAGATATGCGGAGGCGCTGGTGGCATGGCCTCGCCGGCGTGGATTTGCTAAAGCCGCCGATGAGGAACTCTAGATAAACCTCTTTTTTTTTTTTGTTTATTCTAGTCTATTGGTCTATTTTTGTTTGGTTCTGATTTTTATTATTTCGGTGTTTTTGTGGAGGTGGGACAAAGAAAGAATCGGCCGCCACCAGTCCGAGCTTCACCGGCGACCAGAACTGGCAGAGGAGTTTTTTTCTTTAAGTTATTTCTTGTCCTTGATTTAAGTCGATTTTTGGTTGATTTTAACTTCTATTCGTTTTGGTGCTAGATATGGGAGTGGACTAATTTGGGTAAGGATGTTCTAGACTTTTGCTTAGTATGGTTAGGGATTTCGAACTAGGAGATAAAAAGAAGCTAATTTTTATTTATGGATTTAAAAATGATATACAAATATGATTTTTGGGATTAAAAATCTGAATTCGAATTGAATGATTCAGAAAGGGTGAATAAATTCGTTTATGAAATCTAGTGGATTCGGTTAATGCTCTTGATATGCTGGAATTCGGTAAAAAAAGGAATTTTATGTAGGGATCAGTAGTATACATAAACAAGCGATACAATGATAGAGAACTAAAAGGATTGTTATTGAAGAAGGATGAACCTGGTTTATAGATTACAAGCTTGGTCTTGAGATCCTTGCATTGTGCCTTCTTTCCACTCTTGTACTCCAAGAACAAGGATTCGATCCTAAAAAAAAGGCTAGAAAGAAAGCTCTCTCCCTATTTTCTTTCGTGTTTTCACTCCCCCCTTTTTCCCAGAACCGTCCCCCCCCAAACTTGAGAGCCCAAAGAGCTCTTTAATAGTAAAAGAAAGTGCCACATGTCATGTTGTGATTGATGATGAGCATGACGTGTTTCTCTCTAATTGGCTGAGCCTCAATGCTGCATCTGAAGCCTCCACCTGTAAAGTGGGTTGCTTAGTGGCCATGTTGGTGAGCTCTTGGTCGGGTTGGGCCAAACCAATCTCTGTGCATTTGGGCTCCTGGGCATATGGGCCGACCTGGGCTCAGATTATGGGCTGAAACTGTTTTTTGAAATTTGGGCATGTGTTAGCTTACTCTCTTCTTTATTTTGTAGCTTGCTGGTGTGGGCTCTCCATGTCTATCGGGCCTTTGCTTCTTGGATTTGTAAACTTGGTTGATGTTTAGGAGTGTACTAACTTTTGTAATGATGTTGGCTTTTAAATTCCTCCTCAATAATACGATATTATACTTTCCTTGTGCATTCAAATCCCTTATGCATCAAACCTTGACATGGAACTCGAATTGTTCATCAAACCTTGACATGGAACTCGAATGCTTCGTCTTGTACTAAACTTGAATGAATGATCGTACTCTTGTTTAACATGAACCCTTCTTAGACTGGTGAGAGACAACTTTATTGGTCCGAAGTTGGCAACAGGTTTTGACATGGACAAAATGTTGTGTCTAAAATTGCCCCACTTTGTATATCTCTTTTTATAAAGAGTTATACAAAGTTCTTGAAAAGACACCACATTTTGCAGAACTCTGTTGATGATTGTATCGTATCACAAAAAGTTATGCTTGAGTGTCGTTAGAATTCCCAGTAGTTGCTTGTGTTTGCATTGTGAATGTTGATTATGACGAAATCACCTTTTTCTATAGCGTTTGCCAACGCGATTCTTATGTTTATGCATATTGTTTGCCAATGCGTGAAATTGCATATTTATATAGCGTTTGCCAACGCGAGAAATTTACTTTTTTATATAGCGCTCGTCAACGCGGGAAATTAAATTTTTATATAGCGTTTGTCAACGCGGGACGTATTTCTATAGCGTTTGCCAACGCGGGAACATGTTTATATAGCGTCCGCCAACGCGGGAAATTACATTTTTATATAGCGTTTGCCAACGCGAGAAATTTAGATGACGACTAACGATGCAGGTTTATGTTTTTATATAAGCGTTCGCCAACGGGGAGATATTGCATTTTTATATAGCATTTGCCAACGCGAGAAATTTAGGTTTTGTTAGCGTTCGTCAACGCGGGAACATTTTTATATAGTGTTTACCAGCGCGGGAACGTATTTCTATAGCGCTCGCCAAAGCGGGAACATATTTCTATAGTGTTCGCCAATGCGAGAATTTAAGGTTTTCTAGTATGAAATTAGATGCGATATTTTCTGGGATCTTGGTAGACTTTGAAAGTTGAAGTAAACAATTTCCGAGGTTCTGATGAGATGCTCAATGCATATCTAAAGTAAAGATGGACACGTTTTTTTTAGAAATGACAGTATGATGTATCATGTTGAATGATGATGTGTATGAATGTTATACGAAAAATACTTTGTTTTTGTTGTTGGTCCTGGATTTCTTTAAACCGATCATCCACAAGGAATTTTGTCATCGTCTTTGGAAGACTTGATCCTTAGTTGTGCTCGAAACTCGATAGTGAGAGCTCTTGAGTATCCGCGTATCCGCCTCTATGGTGCAGAGGTAGGGATATTGGTTACTTTTTTGCCTTGATGCATGATGTCTAGGAAACCCAACCCCTTAGGCTTATGGTTTGGAAATTCTGCTCGACCAGGGGCCCTGCCCTTGGTGGTATTTGTGGCGATGTAAGCGATATTTTGCTTGGTTAAGAAGATCTATCATCTTGAGGTATGTCTTGTCAGGATTGGCCTTTCAGAATACGCTTTTGATTGTGTCTATATGAGATATACGGAACCATGAGGTATCACATTGTACTTTCTTTTCTTTCTTGATGCCCAATGTAGGTCACATGGGTCTCTTATGAGGTTGTATTTCTTGGTGATAGAGAATATTGTGCTTCTTCTTGTGATTATATCGTTGACAAGTGATTTGGTTGACCAGTTGGTCTCATGAAACTTGAGTGTTTTCAAGTTCTCCAAAATTTCTCCACAAACTAGGGAGTTGAACAGTTGAGTAATCTGGTTACTTAGTACCTTAAATTTCCTCTAAGTTGCCCACATTTTGACCCCAAAGATATGTGATTCATTCTCCATGTTCCGGAACGAAGAATTTTTTTTATCATCCTTGACTTGGGATAAATGAAACAACGTCTGAAAAGAACTTTGTTGAAATAACACAGTGGAAACTCATTTTTAGATAATGAAGCTCTTGTTTTTGGGAAGTGTGTGCAAATTGGACAAATACAATTTCTTGTGTGACTTTTGCCACAAACTTTGTTTTTATAATGCTCAAAATTGTTTTTGTTTCAAGAAGAGTGCAAATCGAGCCATGAGAATATCTGTGATCCCTCACTCTCGTCATTAACCTCTTGTTTGCTTTCACTCATTCCTATGGATGTTTTAAGTTTAAGACACTTCGACTACTATCAAAATTCCTATCACCATGAGATGACTCTGTCTATGTTGACGGTCACATGAGCTTGAGGTTAAGGTTTTTCTCAACATGAGAGCTTTGTGTGATTGATTTAGGTGATTTTCATACGGTCTTGTCGTGGAGGTATCTGATTTTTCATGAAATGAGGTTGTTGGTTGATTTTGACTGTGAGGATCTTCTCATCCTGAAATTTTCATTGTCCTGTAATGCAGGGTTAAGACAATGATACAAAGAAGATCTTTGAGAGATTTTGGTCATATGAAGACATTTGTCGGGGAGTTTTTGGCTTGCCCCCAAAGATATGTGGCTAATTGATGGAAATAGGGGATTCGTATAAGGTTTGTAGGTTCTCTCATCGAGGGATTCTTTCTTTTTCTTGGAAATATTGGTGGTTTCCAGAAAGTGTATCTATAGCTTGTATTGCCCCCTTCTCTTGAAATATTGGTTTTGAGAGGCAAGAATGAGTAGGAAGCAAATGAACTCTTGCTTCAACCCAGAATGGTATGCTGAGGAGTTCTTTTGTCTAGTGGTAGTGACTGCATGGTTTTTCTTTTCACGTAAGCTTTTGCTTGAGCGTCTTCCTTGTTTTTTTTGGATATTGGTCGGCAGAAATCTTGCCTTTCTTCGATTGGTTATGAGTTCAGATAACATAGAAAGGGGCATATACTTGTAAGTTCCACAATGTTTTTTTGTTGTTGTTTCCCTTTTTAAATTTTATCGTTTGTGGGACTTGTTTGACTTCGTTATGCCCCCTATGTGTTTCACTAATTCTCCATTTGAAATTTGTGTTTCTGGGCACGAGCACAAAAAAGTTATGACTTTGTCTTGATGGCCGACAACATGAGTGTCTCTCTTGATAGTTGGGCTAATTGGATAGTTTTTCAAACAATATTTTGGTGACGAGATTTGGCTAAATGTGACAAGATTCTTAAAATGGCCTGATGTCGTAACCCCATTACATCCCTTGACTATTATCTCGCATAATTTACAAACACCAGTGGGGTGTTTATACTCTCAACATAAGTTGGCCTTTTGTACTCTCATCAAGAGTGAGGTGTTCAAAATTTCTAACACCGGTAGGATGTTCGTAATCTCTCAACACCAGTAGGGTGTTCATAGTTGTTTGGTATGATAATCCCATGGCTTAACTTGAACACATGAAATTGATTTATGATTTGTTTTAGATAATTCAAGTAAAAATCCGTGAAATAGACTTTTATCACTTGGAAAGATAGGGACCATTGATGCAAAATCCGAAATCAAGATTGATAATGATCACAAGATGCTCCGAGAAGGTAGAAACGTGAATAACCTTTTATTTCTTATGATGAAAGCAAAAGGTGATACATCTTTATCGTGGCGAATTATCTCGATATCTATTTGGGGTTATGCCTATTGACTTCCATGAGTCTGCAGCGGGTTGTTGTTGACGTTTAAACGACCTCCTCCTATTCAAACTTCAACCATCCGACGTTCACAATATCTTGAACCCCTATTTTCAGAGCGTTGCAATTTTCCACTGAATGCCCTTGGACTCCGGAATGGTAGTCGCAATGCTTATCGAACCTATACCACCTTGGAAATGGAGGTTGCAGAGTCTCGCCCGGAATAGGAGTGATTAGACGATCATGGAGTAATCGAGGAAAGAGTTCGGTATACGTGACTGGGATAGGGTCAAATACCCTTTTTTCTTTCCTTGGGATACTAACATCTCGATTGGCACCTTGTTGTGGTACTGGTGCTTGATTTTGCATCTTTGATTTCATGAAGTCCGGAGGTTGCAATACTGGGGCTTGATTTATTTGAAAATTGTTTCTTCGTGTTTTCTCTTTTGCTTCTTTGTGGGATGAATATACCTCTTCTTCCTTTCTCTTGTTCTGGCTTAGTCTCGCGGAGCCTTCTGGTATTTCCATCTTGTCTTGCTTAATCCCCTTTTCTATCCTTTCACCGATTATCAACAAATCAACAAAGTTAGTCGTGGTAATTTTTACTATGTTGTTGTAATATGGAGGCTTCAGTGTTTCGAAGAAGATTGACACCATTTCTTTCTCTGATAGAGGAGGTTGAACATCTATAGCTTTTGTTCGCCACCTATGGGCGTATTCACGAAAAGATTCTTTCTTCTGTATTTCCATATTACGCAAATCCTCCCTATCTGGAGCTAAATCTTGGTTATGCTTACAGTGTCTTAAGAATGCATCAGCCAGATCTTGCCATTTCTTCACCTTTGATCTTTCGAGTTGCACGTACCACCTTAGAGCTGAACCATGTAAGCTATTCTGGAAGTAGTGTATCATCAATTTTT